TACTATGCACCAATTCTGATTTTATGTTCTGCTGTACATATGTATCTAGGCATCTTACAAAAAAAATCTAAAAAACAACAAAAATGCATGTTTTTATTTGCATGTCCTAGATATATATATATATATATATATATATATATATATATATATATATATATATATATATATATATATATATATATATTATAGATGTTTTTTAATTTAGTTTTGAAGATATTTTCTAATGTCAAAATAAATAACTTGGGTAAGATAGTGTCGCCCTGTCTCACACCTTTGCCAATGTCTATTTTCATAGTTTTCAGATCATCATCTATTTTTACTTGAAAAGTAGCATCATCTTATATATTTTTAAGAAGGGCAGCATATCTTGAATCTACTCTAGCGACGTCCAATGCTGTTAAGAAAGCTCATTTCTCGATACCGTCGAATGCTTTGTGATAATCAACAAATGCCAGATGTAGTGGTATGTTGTACTCTGTTGTGTGGTAGTGTACTGTGGTATGTGGTAGTGTACTACAAGTACTATTCTAAATTTATGTCTATAAACGATTTTAATCTTTATTATATTTTATAATCTAATCACAGTACGTTAAATATAATTAGAGTTTCTACTCGAACTAACATAAATTCATAGAAATTATTGGCCACTTCGGTTAAAACTATTAATTTTTAATAGCCACGTATCACATAAATATTTAATCACCTCTCTCTATACTTTATTACAGCTCTATTGAAGTCGTTTAAACATAATTTATAATATTAGGCCAGTTACCTCTTAGAAATTGGAGCAGGTGTCTTATTATTTTTACTTTCATAAAGCCTGAAATATTTATGTGTATTATGATTGACGGCTATACTTTTTAGGTCATTTCAAGAGTTAATATTCTGATCCGTTTCAAAGAAGTACACCACTTACTGATAATTAATTTATAAGGGTATACATTAATACTCAAACCATAGCGCCTCCGATCAAAAATGTTCTTAGACCTATTTTTGGTAAATAAAAGCAATGTTTTACTTTACATTGCTTAATTAAGAAATATTTGACTATACTAAAACAATGTTTAGTTGAAGGTGATTACTTGGCAACATCGCACTTAACGAAGCCCTTAACGATAACTTTTTGACGAGATCATATTCCACTTATCAATTTTGCAGAGGCGTATCAAAAAAATTTTTAAATATTTATTTAAACACATATAAGTAATTAATTAAATCTAAGACCGATATAATTATTAAATTATCATGCGTCTTTTAACAGGTATCTTATTCGCTCCGTGCGTAACCATGATAGGGGTACTTTGAAACGATGCCAGCGTGCGTAGCGGCGAAAAATGACAAATTTTTACCTATCTTTCACGCATAAATTTTATAAAAAATGGGTGCAAATATTTGTTGCATATTCAATTGTACTAATAATAGCAAAAATAGTGAGTGTAGTTTTATAGGTCTCCAAAGATTACATATAAATTAGAGAAAAGAAAAAGATGGATTCGTGCTATTAATATGAAAAAGTAAATATCATATAATTTTAATTTTTATGCAATTAAAATAGGAAAAATTTAAATAATTTACCTTAAATGATATTTCACAAGGTTTCAAGCTAACTGCAGCCTGCCTGAGGACTTTATCTTTTTTATCATAACTTCTACTACTTTTGTTTTTAACTACATGTCCTTCCACATGAAAATCTTGATTTGCCAGTACTAGATTTTTCCCTTTCTTTCGTTTGGGGTTGCAAAGATAAATTATGATGAATTTTTAGAAACCCAGTTTTAAATACTACATTTATTTTGTACATAAACTGAAAAAATATAATTAAATAACTATCAAAATTATTAATAATTGTCAATTTCGTATATATTTAATATATGTTTAATCTCAAATTGGGAGGTCCAAAACTCCCAGATGAAGGCAATAGGTCAGTCACGCATGGAGCGAGTAGTTGTTTAACAAAATAAAGTAAAAGTTTATTATTTTTATAGAGTACCTAACACAGTCCTTCAAAAAACAAAAATCTTTGCAAAATACCTACTTATTTTTTTATTAGACTAAACACTCTGAAATTTTAACATACGATCTCGTCGTTGCACTTCATTCTTTATTTATAGAATTGCTGTCTGCTATGATCATTGTATTTGTTTTGTTTTAACTTGAATTGAATTTATTTAATTATGTATTTAAATACATAAGTAATTACTTAAAAATTAAATTTAAGACCGATATAATTATTAAATTATCATGTGTCTTTTGACAGGTATCTTATAGTTGTCTAACAAATTAAAGAAAAATTTTATTCTTATTAGAGAGTACCTAATACAGAACTTCAAAAAACAGAAAACTTTGGAAAATACTTATTTTTTCATTAGACTAATCTGAAATTTTAACATACGATCTCGTCATTACACATCATTCTCTATTGATAGAATTGCTGTGTGCTGTAAACTATATATTTGTTTTTTTTTTTAACTTAATTGGAAAGTTCCCTTATGTTTATTTGTTTATTTAAATATAAAAATATATTGTTCATATAAATTAAAATGAATTAAGCTAAACTATTATTATGTAAATGCGTGTATAACTATATATATTATATTTAATTTGTTTATTTCAGTAAATTCTCGAAATATGAAATAAAGATGACACTAACTACTCAAAAGTTAATACCTTTGTTAGAAGAAGACTCAAATTGTGAAAATGCTGACTCAATTAAAGTGGTTTATTTGCCGCCGAAATAAGATTAGACAGTTTCTTATGTAAAAGACATTGATGATAATATTATTTATGAAGAATCAATAAAATCGGATATTGCAGGTACATATGAAATACATGTAATTGGGAATTCTGACGATTCTGATTATGATATTCCTCTGAACCACAGATAAAACGTCCAAAGAAAAAACCAGTCAAAAATCGTAAATCCAAATTTGTCTTACGTTGTAACAACAAATACCTCTTTGTGCTACTTTGTGCTCAGTAGTAATTCAACATCAGTCTGATTAATATTTAGACAATATAAAAGCCAACTATGGAGGCAAGTCATATATTAAAGTTTTTTCACTCTTTTTTGATAAAAACGTAATTGAGAGCATTGTATATTTTACATATATTTATGCATCGCAGAGTAACCATTTCAATTTTGAAATGAATAACATAGATTTATATATTATCTGGTTCACACTCTGTTTCAAGTTGATATGCTTATCAAAGGATGGGGATGAAGAAGTGCACATTATAAGAGAAATCATGAGCTGGTATAGATTTATATTTATAATTTATAATAGTGAAGAATCGCTACATCAGTGTCAAGCTTAGTACATGTACGTCAATCTAAATTTGCTTTACCAGATAAAACCATATTCTACAATATTGGCCACATTACAAAAAGAGACGATAGTGCAAGAATGTAGGATGTGCAAAATTACTACTATTTATTTATGTAAAAGGTGTAGAATGCATCTACACTCAGAATGTTTTGAAAATTTTCACCTTACAATTTAATCTACATTTAAGATGCAATGTTCCTTTATTAAAAATTGTACTGTTTTCCTTGAAAATGAGAAAAAAAATCTTTTTGGTGGTAAATTATTCTTAATTTATCTGTTTTTATTCATTTCAAATATTTTCAAACTTAACCGTCGACTTCCTTAGCTCGACTCACATTGTAGCACGTCTGCTCCATTTCAAATCTGTTCTTCGACTTTTCTTTTTGTTAAATTTTACAAATTAGACGCCACAAAATATCTCTCCCCCTTGTGTTTACAAAACCTAAACACAATATTCTGCTTGACCCTCTTTATAAACGATAAAAACAACTTTTAAATAGTCCAGCTCATTGCGTTTTAACGACGAAAGACAAATAAAAACTCTTGTTTATATTAGGGGGCATCATGAAATATAATCTCTTTATACATAATAAAAACATAATACAAATTAACAAAATAGCACGTAGTTTTTAAACCGGAGTTCTACCTGACTTTGTAATAGAGATAAAAAAATATTTCCAGCGTTATTACGCATTTAAAAATCTCGTCAAAAAAACTTGAAATATTAACGATCGTTTTCTTGGTAAAAACAACCAGGGGTATATTACAGAAATTTAAAATATAAAACACTACAGAGTAAGACTTAAAAATATATATTTAAATAAAGAAATATTTAACAAATGTACATAATATAAATCTTTACATGTGTGCACAAAAATACAATAAATTTATTTTTAATATAGCATGTGACACAAATGTAAGTACATGATTGCTCAAGTAATGATTCCGTATTCCACTCCATCCTAAAAGGCCATAGGTAAATTCAGATTGTAAAAGTGCATAACAAAGAATAATTGGTAAATGAGTTATTCCTAAAAATTGTTTTAAAAATTTGAATCTTGGTAGGAGTCCTCTAAATTTAAGTACTATATTATTTTGTTGACTATTCCATCGTAAATGTTTGATAATGAAATAAATGCTTGCTTGAAGGCATAAACTTTACGGAAGTATGTAAAAATATCTCAAGTTACTAACGAACATACTAGTGGCGTTACAAAATAATTTGTTAGCAAAAGTTTTCTTAAATTTATTATTAATCATGCAAAATGGGAAAATTCTTGATAAATCTTCTACTGTCCAAATTTTATTTATACCAAACATTGCCTATTCACAACGTTAAAAAAACAAATTTAAAATATTCCCAAATATTTATGCAAACTCCAATAACCATGTTTGGTTGACCGAACGAGCCAATACAGAGGCAAAAAAATAATTAAGTAGATGCTAGTATCCTAAAAATTTAAAATCAACAGGACAAATATATTTATGTAAGTTGATCAATTTCATTACCGATCCAAATAAAATCATCAATTATCCAACTGAATTCCCGAATTCATTGAATTTACTAGAACTACCGCCACAACATTTAGAGCTTAAGGTTCGATATCTGGTAATCATGCAAAATCAGAAGCAGCCGAAAGGATGTAATCGATATATACACAAATAATAAAAAATTATTAAAAAAATCATTTTTGTTATTTATTCATCTACACAAAAATTCTTGTTTATCAATATTAATAGGCTTTGACACATTTTGCTGTATCGCGGCTACATTTTAATCCTTCTACACATCTTGCTCTGAATGGATATCCTCCAATAAGCAATTCTCCGATGCAAATATCGCCCTCATCTACAACATTAAAAAAGGATTTAGCTTTTAAAAACTTGCAAGGAAACAAAAATAATGAGAATTTATGGTACATTTATTTAGCATATGGCTACATCACAGGTTCATATATATATATACATATAATATAAATTATATAAATTACAAACAACAGTAAATACAGAAATATTATTCTACAAACAAACATCTAGATCATAAATATATTCGATTGACTCTTTTGTAGCAGCCAGGAAATCTGAAGGGTTGCCGTTGTAGGATCTAATCGGGCATTCCTCTACCATGTGTTTTACTGTTTGCCTTTCGGCCCCGCAGTCGCAATTTGGTGATTGTATTTTTCCCCATCTAAAAAGTGAGTCGGAATATCTGCCACAGTTCGTCCTTATTCTATTGAGTGTGGTTCGTCTCGATTGGTTGAAGCCCTCAGGTTTGCTTGTAATACATGGCAGTTACATTAAAGTTTTGATCTACTAGCCTTTTTGCTGTTTTTTACTTTAGCCTTGATTGTGCCCGATATAATGGCTTGGTTGAGTTGGACATCAACACGGTGAGTATGTGGACTGTTTATCCATACTGGTGCACAGTATTCCGCTACGGGGTATACCAGTCCTAATGCTGTCGATCTAAGTGTGGGTGCTGAGGAGCCCCATGTAATGCCGCAGAGCTTTTGCAGGATGTTGTTACGAGTTCGGAGTTTAGCAGCAGTCTTAGTTAGATGCTCTTTAAAATTCAGCATTCTGTCAAGTGTAACACCCAAGTATTTTGGGTGTTTATTATATTTAAGGAGTCTATCCCCAAAATTGATTTGAGGTTGATAGTTGGCCATCTTGTTGTACAAATGGAAGCAGGACACTTCTGTCTTAGTTGGATTGGGTTGCAATCTCCATTTGCGGAAATAATTCCCTAGTGCATTTATATCGTTTGTTAGAATGCGTTCAGTGACCTCGAATTCTTTATGACTTGCGGCAAGCGTCCAGTCGTCTGCGTATCCAAACTTTTTTGATGTGGTTTCTGGCATGTCTGCTATGTAGAGGGAGCCAGCACGGATCCTTGTGGAAGTCCATTATTCAGTTTTCTTTGTTTACTAGTCTTGTCTCCCAATATAACTTTAAAGCATCTGTTGGATTGCATGGCCTTAATAACCTCAGTGGTCTTTCTGCATGGGATTATTCGCATTAATTTATATATTGCCCCTTGTCGCCATACAGTGTCATAAGCAGCAGATATATCGATGAAGACAGCGGTTGTTTTTGATTGCTTTTGAAAGTTTTATTCCACATAATTGGTTAGGGCGAGTACCTGGTCTGTGCTGCTGTGGTTTGGCCGAAATCCTGCCTGTTCCACTGGTAAGTGTTGGAATATGGTTTTGCTTATTCTATTATACAACAGTCTTTCGAACAATTTGTACACCATACTTAAGAGTGCGATGGGGCGATAGTTTTTCGGTGAATTATTACTTTTCCCTGGTTTTAAAATGGCGACGATTTTTGCATTTTTAAGTTGGTGGGGGACGTTTCCCGTTTGAAGGATGTCAGAAAAGAATTCTGCGAGTCATTGCCTAGTGAATCTGCCGCTTTGTTTGAGGAACTTAGCGTGAATGGCGTCGAAACTCGGCGCTTTTCCTGTTTTCATTTCATTTAGGGCTTGCGATATTTCTTCATGCGTAAATGGGTTGGAATATTCTGTTGACTGTGCAAGACTAGATTTTATGGTTTTGAGGACTTTTTTAACTTTAATTTTATGTAAACGATTTTGAGGTGCCCTAGAGGTTGACACTTAAATGTATCTCTGTCTATAGAATGTATCGGTAATTGACATATGAGAAAAATAAGAAATTATGGTACAAGGAAAGTAATTCTGGCACAAATTTAGATGCCTAACTAAACAGAAAACCAATAGTCCTTCTCACCTTGTGGTGAATAATTAAATTATAAATTTAAATCAACAGAAGGCCGACGCCTTCAAAACTCATTTCCAAAATACATTAATCCCTCCTAATAATTTTAAATTTGACCTCACCTTCCGTACAAGGATCGAACGAGACATCACACGACAGATCGGTGCCCCCTTCGATCCGCAGGCACCCAATGATCATCCCATCATGGCGCCTGTTGATCAACAAACCTTCAAAAATTTTTGTCAAATTGGCAAATCGAATGCGTGAAAAAACTTCCACCGAGTGTTACCCTCTATTTGAAGAATATAATGAATGCCACTCTTAAACTCTGCTTCTTCCCATTCCCTTGGAAAGTAGCCAATACAATTATGCTCTTGAAAAAGGGCAAACCCCGTACCGATCCAAACTCTTATAGGCCGATATCTCTCACTAACCTTTTAGCTAAGGTCTTCGAGAGAATCCTAAAAGAAAGACTCGTTGACTTTACCACCGAACATAATATCATCCCATCCAAATCGGCTCTAGAGAAGGGTACTCTACCACTACGGCATTGACTGAAAGCGTCACACATCTCACACAAAGTCCGAACTATGGTAAAGTTTCACTAGGCATCTTTCTCGATGTTCAAAAAGCCTTTAACAAAGTTTGGCATATAGGACTTGTCAAGAAACTGCTGAACATCGGCCAGCCACTCTCATTTGTCAAACTTATTTATTCATATGTCTCTGATTGTCTGATTACCGTAAAGAAGCGGGGTTATTTCTCCGATTCCTTTACTCCTACAGCCGGAGTACCTCAAGGTTCTGTATTGGCTCCCATTTTATACATCATCTACAACAGTAACTTCCTTAATCCTCTTTATTACAACACAACCACTTTGCTCTACACAGATGATACAGCAGATGATATAAAATTATATTTTTTGCTATAACTTTCATGTTTGTAAATATTTATATACAAAAATTTACAGCTGGGTATTATTGAATATCAGAAATTATAATTTGATGCATACTTTGATATAGCTAATAGAGGCCGCCACATATGACCCATACGTGGCATATATTTGCACTTAACTTTTTTGTTCTTCAAGTAACCGGTATTTTTAGTAAAAAATATTAAAGATACATTATTTTAACAAAAAAAAGTATACTTGTTAATAACTTCAAAACTTAACAGTTTTCGAGATACTTAATCAAATTTTACAAATTAACTGCATAATTCTGATTTAACGCAATTACTCCAGGCAATGAAAGAAAAATAGATAAAAACATCAATACTTCTGAATATTGTTATAAAATACTTTTAATAAAGTCAATAGTTAACGAAACATTAAAAAATATATATATCAGCAGTATAATTAATAATAGGATTTGATAAAATAACAGAATAATTGGATTTTACATAAAAAATTTTACGTGTTTTATTAAATTAAAGTCATAATTATAAAACATTTTATTTACAAACGAAATGAAGAAATAGTTAAACTAAATAACAATAAACTTTTTGTTAATGTAACTGTTCGATATGTCCACCATTTTCTTTAATTCATTTGTCAATAAATTCCATAAAATATCGTCTCATATTAAATAGCATCATTGGTTCTAAAGAAACTGCTGCAGTACTTATTATAAGTATAATAATATTTATTATTTTGGGATTTTTACGAATTAAATCATTATATTAATATCTTACCACGTGACCAAGTAATACCTATTATTATACTTATAATAAGTACTGCAGTAGTTTCTTTAGAACCAATGATGCTATTTAATATGAGACGATATTTTATGGAATGTATTGACAAATGAATTAAAGAAAATGGTAGACATATTGAACACTTACTTTGACAAAAATTTAATGTCATTTAGTTTAACTATTTCTTAATTTGGTTTGTAAATAAAATTCTTTGATTATGACTTTAATTTAATACAAAACGTAAAATATTTGATGTAAAATCCAATTATTCTGTTATTTATCAAATCCTATTATTTTATCCTGCTGATATATTTATTTTATTTATTAATTCGTTAACTAGTAACTTCATTCAAGGTATTTTATACCAAAATTCAGAAGTATTAATGTTTTTCTTTAATTTTCTTTCATTGCCTGGAGTAATTGCGATAAATCAGAATTATGTAGTTGATTTCTGAAATGCGATTATCTTGAAAACTTTTGAGTTTTGAAGATATTAACAAGTATACCTTTTTTTTTGTTAAAATAATGTATCTTTAATATTTTTTATTAAAAATAAATATTAACCAATCGTAAAATAGTTTCGAAACACAATTCAGATTTCTACTTTATAATCTGAGCCTTCTAAGAATTGCAAGACAAACAGACGTTGATAAAAGATGTTAAAAGAGACATGGGGAATCTAAAATTTGCATTCCACGACATGTCTTTTACAACTAAGCAGAAATCCTTAGCGAATTGTGTTTCTCGTACTCCCACAGAGTATATCCGAATAAAATGAGAAAAGGCAGCAAATATTTGATTTCACGCAAACAAATCCTATGTATCTCTTGATACGTATTTCGACCTAATAGGTCTCGTCAGAAGAGCTATTCATAGGGGTTCTCAACGTGAAAAATCAATATTTTCTGCCTTTTAAGAAGCAACAATAACATGGCTTCAATACGGACGCAGTAGCGACATCTAATTAAACAATCGTAAAATAGTTTCGAAACACAATTCAGATTTCTGCTTTATAATCTAAGCCTTCTAAGAATTGCAAGGCAAACAGACGTTGATAAAAGATGTTAAAAGAGACATGGGGAATCTAAAATTTGCATTCCACGACATGTCTTTTACAACTAAGCAGAAATCCTTAGCGAATTGTGTTTCTCGTACTCCCACAGAGTATATCCGAATAAAATGAGAAAAGACAGCAAATATTTGATTTCACGCAAACAAATCCTATGTATCTCTTGATACGTATTTCGACCTAATAGGTCTCGTCAGAAGAGCTATTCATAGGGGTTCTCAACGTGAAAAATCAATCGAAATCAAGTCGAAATACGTATCAAGAGATACATAGGATTTGTTTGCGTGAAATCAAATATTTGCTGCCTTTTCTCATAAATAAAATTTAAAAAAAACTTGAAGAGCAGAAAAGGTAAGCGTAAATGTATGCCACATATGTGGCATATGTGGCGCCCTGTATCAGCTACATCAAATTACAATTTCGGATATTTAATAGTACTAGTACCAGTTGTAAATTTTTATACATAAATGTTGATAAACATGAAAGTTATAGCGAAAAATAAAATTTTACATTTCCACTTTAAAACCCTGTATCTTTCTTAATATCAACATTTTATTAAAGCAACTTGACTTAAATCGTAATATTTTAAGGTCTAGAATCTATGGTTTCTATTTGTACAATTACTTAAGGACCACCCTGTATAACGAGAAAAATGCAAGGCTAGTATCAAAATATATCGATAGTTTTCTTAAAGTAAATAGTATAAACACACATAACAAAGGTAATTTAATAAATACTTACATAATTTTGAATAGCAAACATCGCAACATCCACAATAACTTCCATCTTCTTGCAGATATTGAGAATCTTTGCAAACGACATTTTCTGCACATTTTACACTGTCGCAATAGTTAGGGAGACATACTATACCATTTACTGCCTGATAAAAGGCAAAAAGAACAATCGTGGTAAGTAATAAACTTTTCATGATCCCGATAGAATAAATTGAATTATAATATATTAATGCTGCAATATGCTGAGGCTTTTAATAATTACACGATGATAATGAACAATGTTTTAGAATTAAATAATATTTATTTTGCTGTGTATTGTGAGAAAATTAATATGTTTTATGTTCAACATATAACATAATAACAGATATGTTCAACATGAGTCCTTTGTTAATAAACCAAAAAATAATTAAAATATAAAAATAATGTTTTCCTAAACACAATGGCATAATGTGTAATTCCTATTCATTTTTATTGACTTTCAATTAATTTTGATTTGATTTTTCCTAAACAATGGCATAATGGCATAATTTCCTAAACAATGGGTAATTCGTATTCATTTTTATGAACTTTTAATTAAATTTAATTTGATTGTTCCTACTACAGAGGGCTAATACAAGTGTCATAAACTTAGTCTCAAAACTCTATGAAAAAATATTAAAAAATAAAATTGAAAAAGCGATGTCAGATGTAGAACATAATGGCTTTCGTGCAGACAGATCCTGCATAGACAACAAACTATCTCTTAAAGGCAACCACCCAACTCATGTAGTCTTTATAGCTCTGAGAAAGATATACCGTATAACTTCTTCTTCTTCAGTGCCTTATCCGGTCCGGATGTTGGCGATCATCAAGGCTATCATGGTTTTGTTGACTGCTCTGCGAAACAGCTCCACTGAGGTCATACCAAACCATTGTCGGAGATTTTTCAACCACGAGATACGACGGCGTCCCGGTCCTCTTCTGCCAAATACTTTACCCTGCATAACGAATTGAAGAATTCGATATTTTTCTTCTTTCCGTATCACGTGGCCGAGGTACTGAAGCTTACGTTGTTTAATTAAATTAAGCACTTTTTTTTTCTTTTGTCATGCGCTGTAGGACCTCAACGTTGGTAACATGGTCCACATAAGATACTTTTAGTATCCTTCTATATATCCACATCTCGAAGGCTTCGATTCGTTTTTCAGTGGCTTGCGTCAGTGTCCAGGCTTAAACTCCATATAGTAACACTGGAAGAACGTAGCACCTCACTATCGTACCGTATAACAGGGTGACTTTATTAAATTTGTCCGTAGTTTCTAGCTTAACTTTTGAATTGATTGAAAAACATAAAAAAGTGTATATCAAACTCACCCATTCCTGTGAGGTCTTTTTGATACCCCATTTTAAAATAGTTTAGCCGATGCATAAAAGCTGTAGTTATATTAATGTCACCACATTTTTTAATCAATCAAACCAATTTTTAGATATTTCAATTTTAATTTGGGGGGTGACTTTGATAGCTACTACAGACACAATGATTAGTATATAATAAATTATTCTAGAAGTAGCTAATACTTCATGTAAAAACAATTTAGCAAATTAGTAAAATAATAAAAAATAGTAAAGAAAGGCAGAACAATATATTATGAAAATTTTGCCAGGCAATATGCATTTGGTTGCTGTTTTATTTGTTTCAACCGATGGGGTTTTCAGAATTGCTATGATATCAGATCTTCATCTTGGATATCAGATATCATCTTCATATAATTGGTTCTTCACAGAACTTTCATTTTCAATTTCTTTTTCTTATTCACTGGTATAGCTGTTTAATTCGCTATCGAAGGAGCTGTCATCCGCAGTTACATGTCGACTAACACGTTTACCGGGTTGGATATTAGGTTTTTTTTAACTTCGACGTTTAGTAACTTGTATTTTGGACTTCTTATTTATCAAATAGTCTGTGAGGCTGTCGTTAATCCGAGGTTCTACATAATCAACATCATGGTTGATTGGTGCAATTTTACTCAAGACTTTATTTAGATCGGAAGGAACCATATCACAAGCCTCAAACCCATTCTTCAAAACTCTCTTAATTATACTTTCTTCACAGTCTCCATATTTGTGATCAGTTTTTGCAATTGTCTGATCCATTAATAACGACGGAAATTGATTTTTAGGTACACCAGTAATCTTTGGGTGTCGTAATTTAAATTCCGTCAAAATATTTTGCCAAGAAACTTTTATGGGTTTCAAAAAGGATACATCCAAAGTCTGGCATATGTGTGTTTAATTACTGGGAAGGAAAGCAAATTTAATATTGTGCAATTCACAACGTTGTTATACATGATCTGAAAAGTGAGACGCCAAGTTGTCACCGATCATAACTTTTTTACCTTCCAGCCGTCTTAAGTGTGGTAATAATATGGTCTCCAACCAGTCTGTAAAACAAGTTACCTCCATCCACCCATTTTTTGTTCGGTTATATCTAGCTCCTTTTGCGCAACATCGACTACTACAACAAGGAGAGCCCTGTGGACCCCCTAATATCCACGCATCCTACATATGTTCGCTGCGATATATTATATAGGGAGAAAGTATGGGAGTAGTTTGCCGTCAGCAACACCCCACATCATTATTGATGTGGCAGCTTTACTATGATTAGTGATTTGCTCTGGGTATTTGGTCCCTCTTTTATATAACAATCTTCTTTTCCCCGGATCATCACTAACGTTGGTTTCATCGTAATTAAAAACGTACGATGAAGGGCAATTTGAGAAAGTTGTTCTTAAATTATTGAAATATGATTCTATTGTTTCTTTGGTGACATCTGCCCGAGCTCTAGTACTGTTAGACGCAATCCGTTCAGAGATTTGCTGACTATGCATCTCTAAAAAATAGGTTACCCAGTCGTTACAAAGACTTACCCCGTTTTTAAATTTATAAATGTTGTACATCTAACGTCGGTAAAGGAAATCCCCAATCGGCGCGATTGATTTTTCCTCCAGCGCCGACAACGCAGTTTGGCTCCCTGGTTTTTGCCCATGCTTCCGTTTGTATTTATTATATAAAGTACCATACGGAATATTGAATCTTTTCGAAGCGGCTTTTAACAGACAAGTTTCCGTTTACTATGTGAAGCAGAGCATGTTCAAGAGTTTCGTCTGTCTTGTACCTTCTTGATCCCAACTTTCGTTTATAAACTAGCGGGATTTTGGCTTTTCATATAGATAATGATGAAAACCTGAAATTAATTAACGGTTTGAAGTTTCATTAAGAAAACTATAAAAAGAAATAAAATATTAAAGTCAACCTGGAAAATGTATCAAAGTGATCCGGGAGAAGAAATCATGTAATTTCATGAAGTAGTCACGAAAATACCTTAGGTTAAATATTTTAAAATATTAAAAGTTAAACAAAAATTAAAACAACATACAAAAAATTGACTAAAATTGTATGGTGAGAGCTGTAAGTTTAAATTTAGTTTACTTTTAGTTAGACAAACTTCAACAGTGCATTTATAAGAGTGAACTTTTGATATTTCTCACAAACGCCTTCCGCTACAATGAATAAACATGTGTACTGAAATTAAGTTCAGACAACCACCAAAACGTATGAATCATTAGGGTTACATACTCTCTTGAAACAAAATATTCATGTTCTATCAAAGTCACCTCATAGAATCAAAGTCACCCCATTTTACGGTACGATAGTATACCACTTGCCATGCTCTGAGTAGCAATGGAGAAACAATGAATAAACAAAAAAATATATAAAAGTAGCAAAACAACTTACAAAATATTACGTTAATAATAAAACTGGAAATATTAACTAGAGAAATTTCTATCATAGTACGTTTGAAAAGTATTTTTATAAAAATACTCATTATTTTGTTAGCACATTTCCTTACACTTAATAATCTTCTAAATGTGCCTATCTTATTCTATTTACAGCAGCTCGAAATTGGTAATACAAATATGTATATAATTACATACCTAAATATATAGGTTGTCCTCTTTCAATAAAAAGGCTAAAGGCTAAAAAATAATAATAATTGGTTCTATCGTTTCCTCTATCAACATATCGAGTTTTCAGAATGATTCTTCCTCTGTTTAACACGTTTTATAGCTTTTTTCCAATTGTCAGATAAAATTTTTGATATGGAGTCAGATACTAGTTGGCGAACATCTTGAAGTTTAAATGTTCTTTTATTTTCCTCAACACATCCTTTATTTCAGCTCAGATTAGTTCTATGAGGTTACGTTCACAGTGATAAGGTGGTAATTGGAACACTTTAACTCAATGTTCTTTTGCTATTTTATTAACATATACTACTTGAATTTTGGTGAATATTGTTTTCATAGCTAAAATAATTTTTTTTTGAATAAACCTTCACCTGGCTTCAAGAGTTCTTACAGTACAACAATACAACACTACTTTGTAGCATGTGCAAATCCTTTAGTATATAAATTCCTTATATATATATATATATATATATATATATATATATATATATACCTATATATATATATATATATATATATATATATATATATTATATATATATATATATATATATATATATATATTGTAATCCCCTCGTATATATATTAAATTGAAATCCCGTCATATATGTATTAAAATAACAAAGATTGTTTTCCATGTATCTCTGTTTCCATACTACTTATTAAAACACCGAATTTTCAATTCATTATAGCGGCTCGAGTTCTTATAAACACATTTTAGAGTTGTTTACTATTTTACAAATGTGTAGTTCCTCGGAATTTTCCTTTAATGTTTTATTCGAAGTCGCCTTACAATTTTTGTGTGTCAGAGAAATAGGATATTTTACGTTTTAGTTCCCGTTTGTGCTTTGTTTATACCCAGCGTTTTGTTTATGCCAAGTTTTTGCCGGCAAGATAATTGCTCATTCTCGTTAGGATCGCTGCCAAAAGTAGTCAATTTTAGCGTGGGTCCAAATTTTTTTCAAATTTGTAATGTCTTCGTTGTTCGTTCTTTTTTTATGAAAAGTGTGTATTAGCAGTTAATTGTGCAGTATGTGTAATTCGACAGGAGGTTGATAACGTACCTAAGAGTACCTCAATAACAAATTTGAAATATGCCCACATTGTTCCAGTCCTTTTAAGAGGCAGAGTTTCAAGTTTTGTGTTCAGTGTCAACTTCAACCCCAAATAGTTAGTCCTATCGCAGTGTGAGATGTAGTTTTTTGTCCCAGTTCTATTCCCAGAAATTCCAATGAAGTCCAGTTTACAACTCAAGTGTAATTTAGTGAAAATCCAGGTAACTTTTTGTTTCCAATTTTAAAGTAAAGACGAACATTTTTTTCTAAAATCATAATTGCTTTCATTGAAATTTAAAACTTGTAA